GAAAGAGGGAGTGCGAGAGAGAAAAAGTGAGAAAGCAAGCTGCCCGGTCTGGGACTCAAACTGAGGTTGGCTATGTGGGAGTCCAGTGCCTCAACTATCACACCATGTGCTGGCCCCAAGATTGAACTTTTGTTTTTGTGTTTTAAGTTAATTATTTGTTTAATTAAATTAATTAATTACTATTATTGTTTAATCGTGATCACCAGAGAGAGAGAGACACAGAGGGTGAGAGAGAGAGAGAGTGGGAGAGAGAGGGAAGGTGAGAAGGCAGGCTGCCAGGTCCAGGACTGGACTGCAGTCAGCCACGTGGGAGTCCATCACTTCCACCACCATGCCATGTACGGGCCCCACGACTGAAGTTTTAACTTTGTTCTACATGCGTGTTGGAGGGTCGGGGATGAGCTCTGGCCTCAGAGAGCCCCCAGCTCTGCCCCTCAGGGCCTGAGTGTCAGGCCTCCCCGACAGATGCACGCAGAGAAGCGTGGGCCGCCTGTTCCCAGGGGAGGAGCCCAGAGCTGCAGGTGACTGGGTCCCCTCCCCCCAGGAGATGGGCCGCCATGACGACCTGTGGTCTCTCTTCTACATGCTGGTGGAGTTCGCGGTGGGCCAGCTGCCCTGGAGGAAGATCAAGGACAAGGTGAGCCCCCACTGCTGGGCCTGAAGGGGCGGGGGGACGCAGCTGGGCTCAGCTCTTGCGCCCTCTTGCCCCAGGAGCAGGTAGGGATGATCAAGGAGAAGTACGAGCACCGGATGCTGCTGAAGCACATGCCCTCAGAGTTCCACCTCTTCTTGGACCACATCGCCAGCCTCGACTACTTCACCAAGCCCGACTACCAGGTGGGAGCCTGCCACCTTGCTCCCGAAGCCCCGGACACGCCCCGAGGGGACCGTCCTCCAGCCGCACCCCTGTGTGTCTGCCCTGGCGTGCACACCGCACCAGGAGGCTCAGTGCGCGTGTGGAGAGGCATCGGGGCTGACGCTCACCCGAGCCTTCCCTGCGTTCACGCACTGCCACTTCAAACGTGGCTTTGATGAGGAGGGTTGCTCATCTCATTCCAGCACTTCGGGATGAGTGAAGCCAGGCGCTTTCAAATTCTTTATCCCAGGACTGTGCGGGCTGCATGGGACGATTGTTCCCCTGCCGTAGATGACGCTGGCACGGCTACGAGCAGGGCCGGGCCGTTATGTCTCCTGACTCTGGTCCAGTGCTCTTCCCAAGGCCCTGTCACCACACCCCTTGGGACCCAGCCACACTGGTCGGAGAGTGGGGGAGGCCTCTGCTGTGTCCTGCCGGGAGCCGCTGTGTGCCGGCCGATGCTGCACTGGGGCTGCAGTGTCGCGCACGCAGCAGGCACACGACCCCGTGGGTCCCTTCAGCAGAGAGCATGCCCCACATCCTGGAGAGAGCCACGCCAGACATGAATGGCCCTGGGGCCTCAGAGGCTCTATAGCTGCC